ATGAGCAAAATAGCTTTAAACTAGCTTGTACCAGTGTGATTTTGAAAATTTAAGGGTGCTGAGTGAGTGCAAAGTTTTTTTTTTTGGTTGCTGTTAAATGACCGGCGCTCGGCCCTTCTAGTGTTAATTGGGCTTCGTAGGCGGTCACAGCCTGGTCCGCATTCATGTTCCCCGGTCTTGGTTTCATGTTGGGCGTCATGAACCTCCGTCAGCCCCTGCAAATACAGCGTGACAGTCTCTCCAGTTGTTTGCAGGAGGAGATCCTGGTCATGTCCATCCGCACAGGGAAAGCCTCCCTCAGTTGTTCCAGCAGTCTGGCCAGGAATGTATGATATTCCACATTGTCCTCATGATCGTAATACAGGTTTTGGGTGGTGATATTCAGCCTCGTGCCAGACGATGGAGATCTTGGAAAAGTCCAATCACAAATGCAATAGTTGGCAGAGTTCATATCTGGTGGGTTGAAATTCTCTGCAGAACTGTCCCAGTTCTTTTGTAAACCTCACGCCCCCTGTTTGCCGGGGGGGGGGTCGGTGAAGCTCCGTGCTGCATCAGTGAGGTCAGCAGCAGTCCAGGGTCTGTGGACTAACATACGGTCACCATCGGTTCCTGCCTCTTCAATCATGGGCAACTGGAGGGCGTCGTGTGGTCGGCCGCTGTCATCTAGGCACAGCTTCCTATGCTTTGCAGCCAGACATTTCTGGAACAAATATGACTGGAGACAGCAGACGTCAGGTCAGCTGGGGCACAGGACTGGTCAGCCTGATGCGATGGCGATGCTGTGGGCCGTCGTCTAGCAGCGTATGATGGTGGCGGCTGGTCGGGGTCGTTAGGTCTCTGCGGACAGGAGTCCAGGTCCGGGTTTGTTTAACACACTGGAAAGTCTGTGAGTTTCCCTCCTTCCCGAAGGCGCTCCAGTTCACATTCACCCTATCCTTTGTCTTCCTTTTTTCATTTTTTTTTTCATTTCAGTAGCTCTGCTGCAGCTGCCCGCAGGAAGGCTGCACGCACCATATAGGGGATGGGGGAAAGCCTTCGGGAGCTAAAAATGAATTAAAATTGAATCTGAACTGTGTTTTGAAATTGAAATTAAACTAAGGCTGGGTAAAGGACCACCCCCAACCTCAGGTGGGGTATTATCCTGCCCCAAGAAGTGCCCCCTCCCCAGCTAGGGGAAGCACAGTGTGCCCCCAAAGCAAAGTCCTGGAAATGCCTGTTGGTCTCTTCTGTCACAGGGGGCGTGACAACCAGGGAGCAGGGGAACGGGGGGGACAGTGGGTGGGTGGGGGAGAGGAAACTTGGGGCCCCGGAGCTTGGATGGTGGCGTCTCCCCTATAAGGAGCCAGTCTGTCTCTGTGCAGAGCCCCCGCCCTCCCCCTAGGCAGCAGGAGCCCCCTGTACACCACCTCACCCATCCGCTCCAGCACTCTGCAGCCCCCCGGCTGGCCAGCTTGGGACTCCGCCCCTTTTTCCTCTAGGGACAGTGCAGCCAAACCAGCTCCCCAGCCAGGAAGTGTCTTCCTTGAGCCCGGAGATCATAGCTGTGCTTTTGGCCACGCCAGCAGTATGTTGATGGTCCCGGGCAAACGCATGCGCTGCCTCGAGGCGGTCCTGCAGGTTCCTCATGTAATCCAGCCAAGGAGGTTCAGCCGGGGATTCAGGGGGCCAACTCAGCTGGGGTGCGGAGCCCCAACAGGAGACCAGGGTGTAGGATGTGGAGTCCTGCCCCGCGGAGCGACAGGCCATGAGCACTAGGGGCAGCTGTGTGTCCCAGTC